TTAGGATTATAACTCTCAGCCAAATCGGCATACAAGGGACACACCTCAATGTAATAAAAGCCATCTATCACAAACCCACAGCCAACATAATACTGAATCAGGAAAAGTTGAAAGCATTCCCTCTGAGAAAGCATTCCCAACAAGACAAGGATGCCCACTCTCACCACTTCTATTCAACGTAGTGCTGGAAGTCCTAGCCAGAGCAATCAGGCAAGAGAAAAAAATAAAGGGCATCTTAAATCACTAAAAAGGAAGTCAAACTGTGGCTGTTTACTGATGGTATGATTGTATACCTAGAAAACCCTAAAAACTCCTCCAAAAAGCTCCTAGAACTGATTAATGAATTCGGCAAAGTTTCAGGATACAAAGTTAATGTACACAAATCAGTAGCTCTGCTATACACCAACAGTGATCAAGCTAAGAATCAAATAAAGAACTCAACATTTTTTACAATAGCCTTTTCTTTCTTTACCAATACAATACAATACAATACAATACAATACAATACAATACAATACACTACGATAAAGTACAATACTTAGGAATATATCTAACCAAGGAGGTGGAAGACCTCTATGAGGACAACTACAAAACACTGCTAAAAGAAATCATAGACACAAACAAATGGAAACACATGTCATGCTCATGGATGGGTAGAATTAATATTGTGAAAATAATTATATAGTCAAAAGTAATCTACAAATTCAATGCAATTCCCATCAAAATACCATCATTCTTCACAGAACTAGAAAAAACAGTCCTAAAATTCACATGGAACCAAAAAGAGCCAACCTAGCCAAAGAAAAGAACAAATCTGGAGGCTTCACATTACCTGACTTCAAACTATATTATAAAGCCACAGTCACCAAAACAGCATGGTACTGGTGTAAAAATAGGCACATAGACCAGTGGAACAGAATAGAGAACCAAGAAATAAATCCAAATACTCACAGACAACTGATCTTCAACAAAGCAAACAAACAAAAAAAAAAGTGGGAAAGGGACACCCTATTCAACAAATGGTGCTGGGATAATTGGCAAGCCACATGTAGGAGAATGAAACTGGATCCTCATCTCTCACCTTGCACAAAAATCAACTCCAGATGGATCAAGGACTTAAATCTAAGACCTAAAGCTATAAAAATTCTAGAAGATAACATTGGAAAACCCCTTCTAGACATTGGCTTAGGCAAAGGTTTCATGACCAAGAACCCAAAAGGAAGTGCAACAAAAACAAAGATAAATAGTTGGGACTTAATTAAACTAAAGAGCTTTTGCACAGCAAAAGGAACTGTCAGCAGAGTAAACAGACAACAGCCCATAGAGTGGGGGAAAATCTTCACAACCTATACATCCGATAAAGGACTAATATCCAGAATCTACAAGGAACTCCAACAAACTAGCAAGAAATAAACAACAATCCCATCAAAAAGTGGGCTAAGAACATGAATAGACAATTCTCAAAAGAAGATATACAAATGGCCATCAAACATATGAAAAAATGCTCAACATAACTAATGATCACAGAAATGCAAATCAAAATCACACTGTGATTACCACCTTACTCCCTCAAGAATGACCATTGTCAAAAAATAAATAAAATAGATGTTGGCATGGATGTGGTGACAAGGGAACACTTTTACACTGCTGGTAGGAATGTAAACTAGTACAACCACTATGGAAAACAGTCTGGAGATTCTTTAAAGACCTAAGAGTAGAACTACCATTTGATCCACTACTGGGTATCCCAGTAGGAATATCTACCCAGAGGAAAAGAAGTCATTATACGAAAAAGATACTTGCACACACGTTTATAGCAGCACAATTCGTAACTACAAAAATATGGAACTAGCCCAAATGCCCATCAATCAACGAGTAGATAAAGAAATTGTGGTATATATGTACAATGGAATACTACTCAGCCATAAAAAGCAATGAATTAATGGCATTTGCAGCAACCAAGATGGGATTGGAGACTATTATTCTAAGTAACTCAGGAATGAAAAACCAAACATTGTATATTCTCACTCATAAGTGGGCGCTAAGCTATGAGAATGCAAAGGCATAAGGATGATACAATAGACTTTGGGGACTCATGAGGAAAGGGCAGGAAGCAGGTGAGGGATAAAAGGCTACAAATTGGTTTCAGTGTATACTGCTGGGGTGACAGATGCACCAAAATCTCACAAATCACCACTGAAGAACTTACATAATCAAATACCACCTGTTCCCTAAAAACCTATGGAAATAAAATAAAACAGGATAAAACCATACCCAGATATGCATGCCCCCTTCTCCAGGGCTAATGCCTGCTCAGTTGTGGCATCTGGTTTCTGGTCTTAGCCTTTGGTTCCCTTTTACCTGGACCCATTCTAAAGGAGTTGGTCACTGTGGCACACAAAAGTGGGTTCAGGACCAACCAGTTTTAGGGATAAAATCTCACAGAGAAGCAAACTTCTAGTTCCCAAAGCCTCCGAACATTAATACATGAAGCAACTCAGGCAATCTGGCCCTTTGTTTTCCCAGTCTTAAGACTGTCCAGACCCTCTCTTGATGCTGCTAAAACCTGACCTAGAAAATGGACATCCCAAGGGGCATGCAACCAGCCCCTGGCTTTGTCTCCCAATCCCAGCAGAGTAGGATAAACCATGAGAAATCCAGTGCAACATCCAGCCTATTGGTAGATCCCGTGCCCCAAAGCCAGCTGTTCCCAAAGGTTCCCTAGGCAAGGCATCTGGTGGTTGCCTGATTTTTCATTAGGTTCTGTTGACATCCTGTGGATACAGCCTCAAGGGGTGTGGCTCCCACAGGCCCTGTAGGTCTCCCAAAGGCCTCCCACACCAAGACCAAGGAGCTGAGTGAGGAAGTGGGCACCAGAGTAAAAAGCAAGCTCTCATATATGTTGAGTGTAGGCTCATTGGAGTCTGGGGGCTTGGAGGACAGGTTGGTGGTGAAACCGTTATGCTAATGAGACTTTATTTGAATTCCAATGAGTCCGACGGCCTCTCCCCAAATGCGAGTTTGTGCATGTGCAAATATTAACACTGAAATGTTGTTAAAAATGAAGTGCCAAACTATGCAAACCAGTGTTGATCATAACCATTCCTCCAAGTGGTTATAGAAAGAATCAAAGCAATTGTTTTCTACTGTCTCAGTCTGTTCAGGCTGCTAAACAAAATACCGTAAACTGGATGGTAACTTATTTCTCACAGTTCTAATCTGGGAAGTCCAAATTCAAGGTACCAGCAGATTTGGTGTCTGTGAGGGCCCACTTCCTGGTTCATAGATGGCAGAAGAGATGAGGGGGTCTCTGGGGCCTTTATTACATATAACAGTACTAATCTCATGAATGAAGGTTCATGACATAATCACCTCCCAAAGGCCCCACCTCCACATACCTTCACATTGGGGATTACGTTATAAGACATGAACTGGGGAGTGGGGGTGACACAAATATGCAGTCTGTAGCACCTACTACTCATCCATGTACATTTTACCAGCAGTTGACCCTCAATGATATTTCCATTAATTGGTTCCACACTCCTTCGTAGGCACGTTCTTTCTGGTTTCTAGTGGCCAGCAGAGCTCATGAGTTGGATGCATGACATTTACTTGGAAGTCTACAGAATGTCCTTGGGAAGAAGTATGTTCTCCTATTTATGATGGAGACTCAGCAAGGCGAAGCTGGGTTTGCCATATGCCTTTTCCAGCTTTCTGCGCCTGTGTCTGCCTCCTACTCCTGGTACTGACGTAGGCACCACCACTTCCTTTTACTTGATTATTTCATTTGCCTTGAAAGCCAGGAGCAACCAGGGTCCAGAAGGAAGGAAAAAAAGGGAAGAGTAGGGAATCCATCAGTTCTTGGACTTACTTGTACTATTCTTTGCAATGGCCTTCACCCCATGGTGAGCCTCACAAAAAGCATTTTGTAGGGGCTCCAAGTTTATTTCCCACTGTAGCAAGACAGTGGCTTTGGGAATGTCGTTTGTGCATATTTGAGCCCTCTTCACAGAGAAGCCGAGGGTGGAGTAAAAAAATTGCTCCTCCAGTCTCTTAAGTACTTTCTAGGTACATGCAGAGAATTGGAGCAAATTAGGCTTCAGTGAGAAGCAGCGCCATGTTGCTGCCCAAGCTCAGTGGATCCATAAAAGCCCCAGGGTTGTGACTGACCACCAGGGCACAGGGACGCCTCAGAAATTGGTTGGTTTGTCTGTTTTCATTACAAGAGACAGGCTTTCTTACCTTTGAAAGCTCCTTGGCCTCAAGGCCACTTCTTACTCAATATTCTGCCTTCTTAGAACTTTGCTTTGAATATGGCCCATCATGGCTTCTCTGAGTCTTGACCACCCAATTTCAGCCTCTACTGATAACAGACTCTGTTTCCTGGTATTTCCTAGAGAGAGAATCCAGTTAGCCTAGCCCATGTGCTGAGCCACATTTTTGTGGCTGGTCAGCCTGTGAGCTTGTGGCTCCTGGGTCGATGGTCTCTCCTGTCCAATAGCCAGAGGGCAAAGCAGACGGTACCACATATGTTCTCTGGATAGGGCTGAACATAAGGCAGGCATCAGGACTGCTGGGACTCACATGGGGTGGTACAGATGGGTGGTCTTGGGAGCTGGTGTCCCATACCACTGTTATTCTTGGACTCCTTGGGAGCCACTGACCTGGATGAGACTTCTTTATGCTCTGAGAAGGGCACCTAAGTGGACACTGGCTTCTTCTGCCTTGGGTCCCATTGGCCCCAGGAATACATCTTTCTTTAGCTGCTAAGTCATGGGTAGGCTGAAACTGCTTCTCTGGGGCCTGTGGATGGCCAGGGGTGAGCATTTTTTTTGGCCCCTGAGCTCATCACCTAAGCTGGGATGGCTCCTGAGACCACACTGGGTCCTCCAGGACTGGAATGGTTCTTTAGCAACCCCCAACAGGCACTGTTTTGTGGCTGGCTTGTGAAAGGGATTCCATCTCACCATCTGGAGGAGGTAGAATGAGAAACAGGCAGGTTTTGGGGTATGAAAGCCTTTGTCATTTTATTTTACAATAAAAAATTCTAACAGCATATGAACACTCTGTTCCCGGCAGAGGCTAAGGACATACAAAGTTCATTAGAAAGCAAAGCATTAAAATAACAACAGCTACATTCAAAGCTTCTGCTCAGTACTTTGCCCAATGTGTCTAATATGGTTTTAAAGACTCACTGGTCGGGATTTTTCACCCAGAGTTAAAGCACATGTACGAGTACTTACATATCCTCCAAATCATAGACAACAACGACAATAACAGCAACTCCAGATGACGCTAGATCTTGTGGGCTATTTCAAATTTAGGAATTTCTTCATTTTTCCTTGGTAAAACGTTGTGTCATGGAACATGTGACTATATAAATTAATTCAGCAGATCGGAGGAGATAAAGTATTTTCCTGGATAAAACTGAATTACAAAACTAATAATTTAGTAAAAATGCCTTCAAGTGCTTGTCAAACTGTTTTCAGATACATTATGCACATGCTGCTCAAAATCACCATGGGAAGTACAGAGGGTCTTATACCCATTTGACAGATGAGGAATCAGAGACCAGTTTAAAGTGAGTTGATCAAGGTCTAGGATATTTATACCTTTTTCACAATTTCCAGTCCATTGATATGCCTCTGATCCTGTTTGGTACAAATCTTTTCTCTACTCAGTTTGTGTGTGAGATAGGTGTGTGTTTAAGCATAAGGAAGAAATGAGGAGAAATAAGATGAGGCCACAGTTAATTTATGTAAAATATGTTGATGGCCTCTCTCCATAATTTGCAAAAGTCTGACCAAGGTCAGAGAATGAAAATGATCAATTTTTAGATTTCATTTATAATGGCTCTCACTGAAGTATGGTTTGACCAGTGGAGACAGATTCTGCCATATCACAAACTTCCCATTTTTTTAAAACCTGCAGAGTCAGAGCAACTGCATATCTTCTAAAGTCATGTGTTTGTGGCACAATTATATTTCCTACATATTCCTTTTCAGAAACACCTTACATTTTAGCATTTACCACAGGCTAGGATTCTGTAACCGTTCACCTAAGAAATCAAGAGGTCTTTCAATTCTCAGGACACTAACTTATATTCAGAAGGTCAAAATAACTTAAGTTTCACTTGAAACCAATTTTGTTTCAAAAGACTCTGTTGAGGGGCTCATTGGTTTTCTCATCCATGCAAGTGTGTGGCCATGAGCCACCTTAATAGCACCTGAGCTAAGATCATGCAATTCAATTTACAAGTATTTATTGTCTGCTGAGCAAGACATTGTGCTAACTGGGCCTTGGTCAGAAATTGCTTCTTAGACCCAGCGGCTGTATCAATAACTGGTGGTGGGGTGAGAAGTGGCTGGGGCAGCTCTGGCCAGTCTAGCAGAGTTTCAAGTATGTGCACCCTCACCTGATGTGCAAGTGAAGATGCCCCTTTTCTCTCTGTGGTAGCATCCAGGGGACTGTTCTCCGAGTGCTGGCTGCTGCGTGGCATGGCATCCCAGGAGTACTAGTCAGTTCCAGTGTGTAGGAGGTTCTTTTCGGAGGTCTTGCCCACTCACGCTCCTTCTTCTGGGTACCAACCCCCAGTAAAAGTCCCTGCTGAAAGGGTCAGTCCACGGGGCCATGCTTAAATGACATGACCCTGCCTCCTTGGTAACAGCTGATTGGACAGGCACCTGACCCCGGGGTGGCTCACCCATAGGCAGATGAACTAAACCAATCAGATCCTCAAAAATTTGCCTTAGGGGGTCACAGAGATGCTAGTCAGAGTGGTGGGTACTGAAAAGGAAAGGTTTTGCGGAGTGGGTTCTGGAGTGGATTTTTCAGCTACATATGCACTAATGAGAAAGCTGGTTGGCCAGAAGAAGCAAGAGAACCAGGCAGATAGGCAGAGGGAAACAGAGAAGAAAGTCCATGAGGACAGAGAACGTGAGAGTAAAGGCAAGGGTAGCTGTCTCCATCCCTTTCCTGTAGGGGAGCCCTGTTCTGTTTGTGAAATGTCCCTCTATTCTTTCAGCCAACACCTGCACTTGACCAAGTGTGAATGGATTTCTAGTCCTTGCAAAGCTCCTTGCCTGGAACACATTTGAGGTTGGACTGAATGGCAGAATTTAATTTCCAACACTTAGACCCCCAGTCAGTCCCTACTCCAAGCTAAATGACACTCTTTCCTTAAGAGTACTTGGATGTAGTTTGTAAATAAAATACAAATTATTTTCTCGTGTGTGATAGGAGGAATTTAGGATTCAGTACAAATCCTGTTTTCAGACTTTTAAGACAGTATCTGTTATGTTATTCATTAAACGTTGAGCACCTGTGTGCTATGTAGGAAAAAAAAAAAACTCGTTTATATGTAATCAATGTTTAAATCTTTTGATCCATTTCTCTAATTTCTGCCTGTTAGAAAAAGCATTTCTATTAGTTAAATTCCTCACCTCCTCCATTCTACATTCTCTCTCCAAAGGGGGGTGTGTGTGTGTGTGTATGTGTGTATGTGTGCATTTTAATCACAGATCTAACTATTTCCTTTCTTCCATCAAGATTACTCAGACATTACATGCCCTTCTGCTGAGTTCTTAAATTAACAAACTCACAATAAAACTTCTCCCGGGACCAGGGAATTGATTCTTACATAATCTACCCTGAAAGAGGAAACTCCTTGTTCTGCAGGTAACAGCTGCTGTCTCATTATGCACAAGCCTCAGATCATAGGTCTCACGCCACACAATGGACTTTTACTGCACCACTGGGTCCCCTCCCCTGATGCAGAGCATGGACTCCGCTGCCTCACAGTGACACAAAGTTAAGGGCCTCCCTGCCTGCCTGTTGGGATCCTTGGTGCTCAGACAGGAATGCACCCCCACAGTCTAGAACAGCAGGTGAGGTCTCCATTTCCTTAATGGAACTCTCTGGAAAAAGCCAAAATGCATTTCTTTTTCATGAATGCAGAAAACTCATATCAAAACTAGCACTGAAAACTGTTTATTATGCCACAAATGCATCATCCTCTATACACTGTATCTGAAGTTCGTTATATACTCAATCATCTTTTTTCTTGGCAAGAACATTATGGAGTTCTTCATATGACCCTTATCTTTTTTTTAAACCTCTAGGCACAGTTGAAGAAATGTGTTACTGACAAGCCTGCAGGCCACATGGTGAGATGGAAAGCAAGCGGGCTGGTGAACCAGCAGGTTGGGACTGAATCATTGGGCTGGTCACTTCCCTTCTTGGTACTTCTGCTTCCTCCTCCGAGGTCAACCAAGGTCCTCTGTGGCTTCTGCGACTGTCTAGAGGGTTCTGATGAACACGGTGTTTGTTCATTGCTGCCTCCTCGGGGCTCTCTGGGAACCCTATTTCAATTCTTTGAGGCACTTTTGCCCATCTCTTAGAGTCAGCTGTCCAGGTATCTGTCACCTCTGTGGGGTTAGGAGATTCTTCAGGGAAAGGACCACATCTCTCTCAGTCACAGAAAATCTGACCAGGTGGCTCTGTCTCCCCATGAGTGGGAAAACGTGAACAGACTGATTTCTTTCCAACTTAAGGTTTTCCTCTCATCTATTAATACTACTTGTTAAACCCCTGGTGTCTAGTTTAAGAGTGTAGCTGATTTAGCATGCTATCTTTTTAGTCATCTCAGTTGACTCACTCAATATTTCCTGGGGCTCTGTAAAAGACCACAGTGATTTGTGACTCCATCCTCTTAGCACTCTGGAGCCATAGCTCTGCAAACTGTAGACTCAGTCTCTGTAAGTCATTGAAACATCCAAATTTCAGACACTGTCTTCTGAAACATTTACATATATTTCAATTACAGTAAGGTCTTGAAACGTCATTTTCACATACAGTATTTCCAGGCATTTACCAAATAGACAAAGTACTGGTTGATATCATTGCACTAATGAAATATTATTGATAAAGCAGGACAATGTAGCTGATTTTATCAGACTCATACCATTTGCATGAAAAGGCTGAGTTTCTTTGGCTCTTTGTTCATTCAAGTGCATTGAATGCCTATGTAGATAGACGTAGGCATTATGTTAACCTGTCAATAAAATCTCACACTGTCCACAGTGTTTTGCAAACTGATTTAGGTTTTGGACTACAACAACTGGCCATTGATAGAAATATACCATATATACACACGGGAATTACAAAAATACATTTTATTTATAGCTGATTTCCTTTTTAAGTAACAAAACACTAACACTATGAAAGATCAACCAGCATACTAAAAGGACACTACCTATTATCATCCGAACAAGAGACTTGTTTGAAGGTTCCATGACACATCGTCTCTGAACATTCCAGAAAGGGCAATTTTTTGCCATTGGAAAATAAAAACAACTTCTTTGAAAAGTCTCTGCATTGACAGTTTGAACCTCCCCTTCTAATCAGTTCCATTTCTAGTCTTCTCTCAACTTTTAAATTTCTACCATCTTCTTTCAGTAAAGACCAAAGAAACTCGTGAGGACAATGGAAAGATGGGCTCAGAAGAAAATGGATACAGCTGAAGCTAGATGGGTCATGGGTGAAAGCAGGACAGGACCTCATTCTCCAACACACACCAAGTAAGCCCCCAACACTGCACAGGTTGTCACACTTGGCGAGGGAACCAGAGTCTCCAATCTCCCAGGTATACAAAGTCAGTAACTGTTTTGCTTGCATTGATGGGTAGGCGGCGGCTGGTGCCTCAGTGCTGTGAGGCGATGTCCTCTACCCAGAGCTCGGGAAGCCAACTCGCCATGCCAGGGAGGGTGACTTGCAACGTCATGGTCACAAGGTGGCCACCCTGCCATTTCAGCAAACGTCTTCCTATGTCCATTAACTAGGGGGAACTGGCTAACTCCATATGCTTTTTAAAAGGTTATTTACATTTAAATGAAATTCAACAGCTTTTCTACATTCAGAAGCTTCTATAAACAGAGGCTGTGGCCTGGGAAGACTGTGGTTCTACCACTCCTGTTCCTAACAGGAATCAAGTACTATTTCCTTTTGTACCACTCAGCAGCACACACTGGACATCATTGTTGAAGAGACAGAGATTTTCTTGTAAAAGTTGATGTATTTATTATCCCAAGAAAAAAAGAAGCTCCATCTCAGGCCACCTTCAAAGCAGGGCAAAGAAAAACCTCCACAAATAACCGTATTTCTTTTGTAGGATCCTAAAAGCTCTTAGCACCGATTCTCCTTCCGTTAGATCCTAACTTGTAGGGGACTTTTATTTCCAAAATGGCAACACCTTTTAAAAAATCTGTCAACACAAATCCACCATTCCCTCTCATCTTCTCTCTTTCTTGGCCTTTGTTTAATGGATGAGGGAAACAAAGAGTCAGGCCTATTTATAGGCACAGTCATTAGTACTGACTTTCATCCAGTTCATTTGACTTTGAATATGAACCTAAAAAAAAGGGGCTCAGGTTTCTTGGCTGGAGTCAGTGTCTCCCTTACAAACTGATTTTAATGCTCACGGTCATGGCTGACTGACAATACAGTCTGGTGCTTAATCCACACTCCTGCATTGCCTTTAACGCAGAAACAGAGTTAACATGCAGAGGTCACCGAAGATAAGAGCTAAGTTCTCCCGCTTCCGGTGATTGATTAAAATGTGGCATTGGATAGGAATCTGTAGATTAGCTAGTGCCTCTCATGACTAAGCTTCCATAGGGAATACGGCCACAGTTCAAACATTTGACGTGAGAGATTACCAAACATAAGGCCCCAAGCAGGGACTTCTTGACCCACAGTCCGTTGGATGAGCCAAGAATCTAGTCGTTCAAGAGTTTCCTGTTCCCAGAAGCCCCATAGTTCACCTTTTCAGAAACGGAGGGTGAGAAAGACTCACCCATTGCTATGTCTCAAGTCCTAACATGTAGGCATGGGAAACCCAAAGGCTGTGTCCTCAGAGTTCAGAAGTCCAGAGTCCCATGGGCTAAGGCATTAGACCTGGAACTCAAACATATCTGTCTGTTTTTTGGCCAGCTTGGCCACCTCCTCCCGGATGGCCTTCACGAGGGCCGCAGTGGAGATGTTGGTCAGGGGAGCGTCTGATGGGTCATTTTCTGCCAGGCTCTGCTGCGAGGCTGCTGCGGAGGGTGCCGGGGCCTGCTCCAGGCTGGGGTGCAGGTTGACTGGCTGGCTGTACTGGCGAGGAAGCCTGGAGGGAGAGCTCTGTGGGTACCGTGATCGGGGGTAGGCCTCGATGTACCCTGGGAGGGGCACCTGCAGAGGGCGTGGGGAGAGAAGGACAGGGCCCGGCATGAGGAAGGAGCTCAAGTCACAGGACACACTCGACACTGGAAGCAGGAGGGGACTGAGGACATGGAAGAGAACTCAGAAGAAAATGGAAGCCACATACCATTGTATAGATACAAAACTCAGAGTCAGTTTGTTTAGAAAATAGGTAATTTTGGTGGCTCACGCCTGTAATCCCAGCACTTTAGGAGGCCGAGGTGGGTGGATCACGAGGTCAGGAGATCAAGACCATCCTGGCTAAAATGGTGAAACCCCGTCTCTACTAAAAATACAAAAAAAATTAGCCAGGCATGGTGGTGGGTGCCTGTAGTCCCAGCTACTTGGGAGGCTGAAGCAGGAGTCACTTGAACCCAGGAGGCAGAGGTTGCAGTGAGCCAAGATTGCGCCACTGCACTCCAGCCTGAGCAACAGAGTGAGACTCTGTCTCCAAAAAAAAAAAAAAAAAAAAAAGAACATAGGTAATTTAGACTCACTGGATATACTGTTTGGATGAATTAAATAGGTGTCTGAAAAACCTTAGGAATATATACATCTGAGTCTATATTTGAATCTGCCTAGCTACCTTATTTTTTATTACTATTATTTTTAGAGATGATGTCTCACTCTGTCATCCAGGCTGTAGTGCAGTGGTGCCATCATAGCTCACTGCAGTCTTGAACTCTGGGGCTCGAGTGATCCTCCTGCCTCAGCCTCCTGAGTAGCTGGGACTATACCTGGGTACCACCATACCCAGCTCTTGGTTACCTTATTCACATAAGCACAATCCAGCAAACAGAACTGTTTATGGTCTCCAGAGGAACCCAGGGGTTTATTATTAATAATAACTAACATCGATTGAGCCCTGTGCCGAGGGTTTTCCACACATTATCTCATTTAGTTTTCACAGCAATAAGCTAGGAGGTCGGTATTGTTATCCTTACCTTGCAGATGAGGAAATTGACGAGTGCCACAGTCTAAGGTGACAACCTACCAAGACATTCTTTGCAGAGGTCTGTCTGGCTCCAAGGGCTGGAATTAATCACTGCATTACAATGTCTTGGATCTGGGATATGATTTTGGTTTCTTGAAACGTTTTTCTCTCTTCATCAAAAGTGGAAGACACAGAGTCCTATGCTTAAAATATGTAAACTTCTAGGAATAAGGACAAGTAAATAATTTTTAATTTAGAGTCGATTCTCCTACAGAAACAGTGGCACATACAGGGATGCTGTTCCAGGGTAATCCACATAACCCATGATGTTAATTGGAACACTATAGAATAAGCACCCACAGACAACAGAGGCATGGGGTGCTATGGCAAATGAAGTATGTGTGGGAGGACTGGGCAGCTTAGGTGAGTTTGGAAGTTGAACAGGGTACCTCCAGGAAGATGCAGTAGGAGGGGCATTCTGGGCAAAGGGAAAATCAAATACAAATCATCAAATCAAAATGTATGGGAATACTGATGGTAGAGGCTGCTGCCATCACACCGGCTGCAGCAGGGGTGCACGGCTAGGGCTGTACATTCCATGGAGCCAGTGGGAGCCCCCCGCTTTTGAGTTGGAGCAGGAGCTCCCCAGGATGCTGCTGCAGCCACCCAAACCATGACTGCAGACCCAGGCCGCCGCCTCTATGGAGCAGGCAGGAGCCCTGCCCTCCTGGGTGGGGCTACAGCCACCCAAATTGTGCTGTGGATTCGAGCCTCCCTGTGGTCTTGAATGGGGACAGGAGCAGGCAGGATCTGCCCTGGGTGCAGCTACAACCACCCCACCCACAGCTGCAGAACTGGGCTTCCCCCTCCACGAGCAGGCAGGAGCCAGGGACAAGTTGGAACCCTGCCCCTTCTGTGTTGGCGGGGCTGGAGCTCCCGGGTGCAGCTGTAGCCACCCTCCCAGGCACAAGACTAGGCATCTGCCTACATCCTCAGCATCTTGGGAAGGTGCCCCCTCCCTGCTGGCTTGGGGGTGTCTGCTTCTGCTGCCTGGCCTCTTTCTTCCCCCTGTAGGGGCTCTGACTTCTGAGTGCGGTTGGGGACAGGCCCCCAGGGCCATGAATGGCAAGGGGTGGGGTAGACAGACTCCTGGGCGGAAGAGGGTGGGTCTCCCATAAGACCCTACCTTCAGAAAGCCAGGGAGGGCCTGAAGATTGGGGGCTACCTGCTAGTCCTCAGGCTGGAGTGAGGACTCGTGGTTTCTCTTCTGGGCCAACCCATGGACCAATCAGCACACACTTCCTCCCCTCTGAGGTCCATAAAAGCCCTGGGCTCAGCCAGAGCAGGGCAGAGGACAGCTAGAGCAGAGGACAGAGAGACTACGGGACAACCAGCAGCAGAAAGGAGCTACCCTCCCTGCTGAGAGCTTCAGAGACCTGCAGAAACGTCTGAACAAGCTGCCTGTGGAGAGGAGCCACCCTCTCCAGGGCCTCCTCTCTGCTGAGAGCAGCAGACAGTGGGATGAGCAGTGGGCAGAGAGGAGCCACCCTCTCCAGGGCCTCTTCTGTGCTGAGAGCTGAACACTCCATGGGACGACCTGCCTACAGAGAGGAGCTACCCACTGCGGGTCTCCTCTGAGCTAAACAAACCTCCTTGTCACCTCCTTCACCTTTGCTGTGTCTACATACCTCATTCTTCCTGGACCCAGGACAAGAACTCAGGCAAAAGCACCACCGGCCACAGAGGTTTCCAGGAAGAAAACTGACACCCCAAAGATCCCATAACAGTACAAAGAAGAGAGTGCCCCAGGGAGCATCAGTGACCTCAGGCTGACCGGAGAGGGTGCTATTAGTGTGGAAGGAGCTCAGGCAAGACAGACAGACAGGGGTGGATTCATAAGCTGCTGAATGTCAGGCTACAGAGTCTGCATGTCCCGTTTGATCTACCCGTTTTCAATGTCACACTTCTGAGAAATACAGCCTGTTCCCATGCTTAACAGCAATGCTCATCTGGCTCCTGAGGGAGGATGGAGCAGGAAGTCCTAGTCTGTTCTGGCTGTTATGCTGAAATACCATAAGCTGGGGAGCTTATAAACAACAGAAATTTCTTTCTCACAGTTCTGGAGGCTGCAAAGTCTGAGATCAAAGTGTTGGCAGATTCTGCATCTGGTGAGGGCCTGCTTCCTGGTTCAGAGACAGCTGTCTTTTCACTATCCCCTCACATGGCAGAAGAGGTCAGGGGTCTCTCTCAAGCCTCTCTTCTAAGGGTACTAATCCTATTCATTAGGGGGTTTGCACTCATGACCTAACCATCTCCCAAATGTCCCATGTCCTAGTCCCATCACCATGTGGGTTAGGATTTCAACATATGAATCGAGTGGGACACAAACATTCAGACAATACCAATGGGATGGGGTGATGACTCAGAAACTCTAGATGGGGGGATGTGTGGTGGGAAAGCAGTCCCCTCTCCTCCCTGCTGGATGTTCCGGTGATCCCTCCTGAGAAGGCAGGTTCCTGAGATGTGCGGCTGACGCCTGGGCTGGGAGCCACGGATGGGTGTCAGGCAGAGGAGGAGTCTATATTTGGAAAGGACACCTGGAGGTGGACCCACTGGAGGTAGGGAGCAGACAAGTTCTGAGGCTTTCTCAATGGATCAGATGAGAACTGATGAGGACCCAAGCGAGGAAAGAAGTAATGGGATGGATGTCCCAAGTTAAAATTTGGGACTTTGATTTCCTCACAAGACCTAGCAAAGAAAGACAAAATGGCACACAAGTGCTAAGGGTGGGTCTTTATATACAAGGACTGATATGTTTCATTTGTATCTCTGAGGAAAACCAGAGTTGGGCTGTTTGAGTTCTTGGGCCACATGAGCTGGGAAGGTACAGGTTACTGGGGTCACCAAAGAACCAAGACCAGGACATGGCGTATGTATTTCAGATCTCAGCTCAAACTTCCTTTCTTCCAGGAGACCTTTCCCAACCCAACATCAGCCTAGGGATCCCTGTTAGATGTTTCCTTGCAGCTTCTCCAGCGTAACAGTTATTGCTCCTGGTGCCATTGCCTGTCTCAGGCTGCCAACTCCGTGAAGCTGGTGAGTGCCTCACTTGCTTATTGCTGTACACCAGTGCTCAGAATTGTGCAGAGCAGGAGCAGGGAGTCTCTCAGAACCTGGGGTTCTGAGGAGCACAATTTGAAACTCACGGAAGAATGATCAGCTGGGGTCAAATATTTGAGAAGGAAGTTGCCACATTCCCTTTCCCTGCATTTCAAATTCAGCTAACTGTACTTGCTGTGGCTGAGAGAGTCAATGTCCAACTCTTGGGACCCCCCAGCTCTATGGTATCAAGCCTGCAGGTGCTGGTGGCTGGGACAGGCAAGGGATACCTGATCTCACTGGAGTATCCTCAGGGCAATATTCGGCAGTAGGGCAGAAGCAGGGAAGATGAGATGAGAAACTCTTCCTCCCTTGTAGTAGATGCGGGCTGGAGCCATCATGCCCTTCTCGCCAAAATTCAGGGCTGGCAAATACTACTTCCCTAGCCAGCGCCCATGGCAGACATCACCAACTTGATCATAGCACAGGTTCCTGCTAAGCCTGGAAGCCCCTCCCAATCCTTCTCCATCTGGCACCAAGGATGAAACCTATTTGTCATCCCAGGTCCAGGTGATTTTATCCAAGCCAGCTCCTGGGATTAGGAAGGTCCAACATCCAAATGCTGGTGAGGGACTTTTCTTTTTCACATAGATGTGGAAGGTGTGCATTATTCCTGGACCCTTCTCAAGCTGACAACTGGTCTTTCTGAGCTTCCTGCACTTATTTCCATGTGCTATAAATCACCCTTTCACCTTGCTCCTTTCATGGGCACGCCTCCCTGCTTAATTGCAGGTGATAACTGGGCTCCAGGAAAGACCCAATTAGGCTGCAGCAATCATCTTCCTCTTAATTAAAAACAACTAATAGGACACTGGTTCTCCTTCACACTGTGGGAGATGAGCCCAGAAGAGTCCAGTCCAGTCATCGTGGCAGGAAGGTTATGTTTCCATTTGCTTGGTTCCTTTACCTTCATCTTTAAGGCAATTATGAACCCAAAGGCATCTAGATGTAGCTATAAGCCCGGCTAAATTATCATTTGTAAGTGTCTTGAAAACAGGGGTCAAGGTTTTGGAAAATACCTTCACCAGCTCCAGTTGGTGCCCAGTGTTACACTCCACACAACGGGTAAACTGTCAAAGCTGCAGGCTTAAAGAAATTACTGCCTAAGTAGTTCAAGTTAAACATCATCTACTTTCTGAAAAGTCTACATAACTTTCAGATGAAGTGGAATTACAAAATCAATAACCTCTGAATTGATCAAATCCTATCCAGTGACATCAGCCGTTGGAACAGCAGAGAATGACAAAGGATGCAAAAAGGCCCCCAAACAATAAAAACAGCTGCCAGAAAGTCCCACATCCAGAGTGACAGACTGAACAGCAGGGGATCCCTCTAGTTCCTCTCTTACAGCTTATTGACTCCAAGCTTACAAACAATTCTAACGAGCACAGATAAGCCTCGTTTGCAGATAATGGCACACAATGCAAAGCACACTTAAGGGTGAAGCATATTACGAGATGTGGGGACATTGACAGCAATATGGAGTACCCACTGGAAGCAAGGTCAGAAAAAAACATATTGAACCACAATAGTAACCCCCAAAATTATAGTAGTTTGGAGATATTTCACAATATAAGGGCAATAATCCTACAAGCCACGAGAGTTCACCCTACAAATGCCATTTTAGTATAATGAGGCATCATAAGTATATTGAATCACTCATAAAAGGCAAATTACACTGTATACTCTTCTAATGGGGAGAGGGAAGATAGCATTCATTTCAGAAATATTTTATGCCAAGCTGCATATATTTTTAAATGTTTTTGAAATTAAAGGGGTAAGCTTTGGTCATCTAGAAAATTAATATATGTAGTAATTCAGTCTTGGGTTTCTCTTTTTTTTTTTTTTTGAGGCAGAGTCTCGCTCTATCGCCCAAGCTGGAGTGGAGTGGCATGATCTCGGCTCACTGCAACCTCTGCCTCCTGAGTTTAAGTGATTCTCCCGCTTCAGCTTCCCGAGTAGCTAGAATCACAGGCACTCGCCATCACGCCCAGCTAATTTTTGTGGTTTTAGTAGAGAAGGGGTTTCGCCATGTTTGCCAGGCTGGTCTCTCACTCCTGACCTCAGGTGACCTGCCTGCCTCACCCTCCCAAAGTTGTGGGATTACAGGCGTGAGCCACTGCACCCAGCCCAGTCTTGGGTTTCTAATGCTTCATTTTCTAACATTTCTTCTAAAATTTTATAGAATTTTATGCTAAAAGAAACACATTTAATAAAAGCTTTGGAGCCAGACAGGTGCGGGTTTGAATTCCGTCCTTGGCACTTCCTTCCTAGCTGTGTGGCCTTAGGTAAATGGCATCCCCTGACTCGGCCCTGATTTCCTCATCTGCAAGATGGGAGTAATCATGGGAATGATAAGACATACCTAAGATTGTAAATAAAGATTAAATAATATAAACAAAACATCTGACAAGGTGTCTAGTAGATAGAAAATACTCAACAAATGGTAGTTATTATTATAAAAATGTACTTGATTAAGGTTGTCCTGCTAGGAAGAGGTGGGAGCTGGGCTAGAAGGCAGGTCTCAAGCTCCTCTGTCAAGGGGACGTCCCCTCTCACCACACCATCTATCTCCTTTAAAATGGCTGACTTTAGTCATCCGGTTACTGGGAGGAGGCTAACAAACCTTTCAGCCTCAACCTTTTATCTGATTTACTTTTTGGCGTGTGTTAAGCAGGTGAAGTTTTATGACGGGAAGAGCAAGGGTCTCACCGAATCTGCCCACTGGCTCGGGAGCTCATTCTCTCCTGCATAGGACATCCAGGCCTGGTTCCTATAGGATGAGGGAGGCGTCGGGATGAAGTAGCCGGTGAAGCCAGGTCTGTTGGCAGCTGGGATGGCGAACACCGCTGGCACCGTATTACCTAGCATGGAGGAAATGGAGGAGGGAGGTTAAGAGAGACTGGTCTGGCAGATCCAGCCACCCAAGAGCCAAATAAAGTCAGTTTCATTGCCTCCGTGGCTGGCGGCTGGATTTGAAGTCTCATTAAAGCAGGTCTGAGCTGAGGGGAGCTTGCTCTGGGCTGTAACATTTGCTGGGGAATTTAGTTGCATTTAAGGTGCAGTGGACCCGGCCATGATGGCTAAGATCCCAGGTGATGTAGCAACAGAGGCAGGTGGGATGTGGCAGAGGAAACCTGGTCTTCTTTCTTTGTGGACCTCTTCGAGAGCCACTGTGCACAGCTGGGCAGGTGGTGCATGGCTCAAGAGCATCTGGCCTAGGGGCCAAGTGGGGCTAAAGTCCAGCCAGTATTTCCTTTGCCAGGGGTGGAGTCTGCACTCACCTGGGGGAGGAAAGTCTTTTTCTAACTTCACCAAATGCAGCATGTACTAGTAGTGCTCTGGATTTTTCCCTTCTTCTCATCCCCTAAAGAGGGAGTTGTGGGCCCAGCCAGCACCCCGCCCACTAGGCCTGCATCTACCCAGGCCTGGGGAAGCTAGGGAAGTAGAGGAGGACTCTGGGATTGGCCTTGGCTAGGGGATGAGAGAACAAAGGTCTCCAGGGGCAGGAGGAGCAGCAGACCTCCACCTGCCATTCAGCCCCACTCACCCTCGCAGTCAGAACAAGTCTGCTGGGACTCAGACCTGGCTTTCTAGAGAAGTGATGGTCCAACTCCCCCATCCCCATCCCAACACCCCTGACCTGCCAGCAAGAGGAAATAACACCTTGGTGTCCAGGTGTTTTCCTTCCAGGAGAATGTGTATTTCTAAAGAGCCAAGAAAAAGAACTGAAAGAAATGGACTTCACTGATGGAATTTCTAGACACCATGAATGCTTTACTAAGTTTTGGCAACCGAGTGCTTACAGTTTTAGCCTAAAACGTATGGTTTGAATCAACTAAGAAACCAATTATGTCATGTACAAACCTCAATGTTCATTTCGGCATTGTTTGTTATAGCAAAAAACTGGAAACTACCATTATGTCCATCAATAGGGAAAAGTATAAACTGTGGCTCATCATAGAATACCACATGGCAGTTTAAATGAATGAACTAGATCTATATAGTATGTGTATAGCAACCTGGAGAAATTTTTTTAAAACACTGTTAAATAGAGAAAGTACAAAAGGAAATGTATGCCATGATATCATTATGTAAATTTCAAATACGTTAAACAGTAATATATACTGTTATACATACATGGCAAAGGATTAAAACCTATCACTTGGGGCCCGGGATCACCTTTTGGGAGAAGGTGAGTGAAATGGGGGTGGATAGCTGTATCTGGAATGCTTTAAAGATAAAACCAAAAAAATTGAACTGAAGTCTGGCAAAATGTTAACATACATGCTGACTTTAGCATAACTTGGGATTTTGCCTGATTTCAGATCTTTTAAAGAAAGAAAAGCAGCAGCTCTTTTAGCTGGGGCTCCTGAAGTTACGAGGGGATCCAGAAATGCAGTGGCTGTGATTCCTGAGGGTGGTAGGTAGAAAGAAGATTGGATTTGGGGGTTTAGGGGAAGACAGGGCACAGCAGCAGGGGTGGGGGACGCACTGGAGCTTTTCCTCTCTTGCCCACCTGAGTAATTTAAAGCCGACTGATCCAACTGTGCCACGGACACGGGGCCTCTGGACATCTGCGTGAAGGAGGCGCTGTCGTGCAGCTGGGCCGGCTCGGGCCCTGCAGACTCGGCCATTCTGGTCTTGCTGCCGATGTCTGAGGTGGATCTAGATGGGGCAGAGGGACTGCGTTAGCACTGTCCCAGACCTCAGGTGGCATCCCAGGCAGGAGGAGCGCACCCTGTCACCTTTGGGCGTGGACAGCTGCCTCCAAGCCTCCTGAGGGTGGCAGGCCCGGAACTGGATTTATTCCCAGATAACAAACGGCCTTCTAGGGACACCAGCAGGGTAGGAGGCACCCAGATTTGTAGCAGCTGTCATGGTGGCCTGAGCTGAAATCATTTGTAGACATTCAAGGTCAGTTCTCCCCTAAGGGTGGTTCTCATGTCTCTGGGTGGTAGAACATTTAATTTCCACATAAAAGAAGAAAAGCAATTAGCCCTGGGTATTAGCTGGGGATGGTCGACCCAGGAGGTAATGACATCATTAGCAGCCAATGGGAAGGCTCTGTCTGGAGTGCCTGGTTGCTCTCTTCTCATGGAAAGGGGACCCGGGACAGCTGGGGAGCCACATTCCCTGTTCCTAACTGGCAGGAAGCACCAAGCCCAAGACTCGGAAACTGGGATTGACTCCAGGGAGCAATGAGCATTCTAACAGAACTTTGTTTTGGTGCCCGGGCAATCAGAGAATCAAGCCCATTTAACACATCCTATTTCCACTTAGTGCTCAGAAGGCCATGTAAGAAGAGGGCAGCTTGGGCTCTGCAGATGCGGGCATCTCCTGGTTTTCCAAAGGGTCCTTCAGCCACAGACCGTTCTCCCTCACAAGCATCACCCCTGGCCTGAGGCAGTTTCACAGAGGGACTTCAGGCTCCCCTAAAATTAGTCCAATGGGAGAGAGGCAAAGACAGCTGCAGCAGGTCTGGCCCCCCACAGGGCCGCCCTCTGAGCAGAGCAGTGGCTGTCACAGAGCAAATGACAGCCACAGCAAGGGAGAGCACAGGAAGCGGAGGTCTGGGTTCCAGCTACCTTCCCTTTCATTATTTTTATTTTTATTTTTTATTTTTTGAGACAGGGTCTCACTCTGTCACCCAGGCTGGAGTGCAGTGGCACCACCTTGGCTCACTACAAACTCTGCCTCCTGGGTTCAAGCGATTCTCCCACCTCAGCCTCCCAAGTAGCCAGGATTATAGGCGCATGCCACTATGTCCACCTAATTTTTGTATTTTTGGTAGAGACGGGGTTTCACCATATTGCCAGACTGGTCTCAAACTCTTGGCCTCAAATGATCCACCCGCCTCAGCCTCCCAAAGTGCTGGGATTACAAGCATGAGCCACCATGCCCAGCCTGCGTTCCCTTTCCGAGCCTGTTTCATCTGTAAAACGACAGGGGTAGACAAACTCATCTCAAATGTTCCTTCCTGGTCTAATCCTGAGTTTATATGAAGGGCAGTGTCCCCCTGATATGTGCCAAGAGAGCATATGGTATGGAGGGGCCTGGGAGGAGACAGGTGGTTGAAAGAAGAAATAAGAAATTGATGCTGGCCTTCAGCAAACCTCCCACAAATTGCTGGTATGAGGCCCCTCCAATCCGGGACCCTCAGGAGTAACTGAGAAGCCCACTGCTACTCTCCTAGGAAGGTCCAATGTGGAGGCTATATGATGTGATCATTCATCAGGGTGGGGTCTCCCTTCCTTTCTTCCTCCCTCCCTCTCTGCCTGCTTGTTCCCACAGCCCTGGCTTCCCACATGCAGTTCCAGGCATCTGCTACTTGTTCAGAAAACCCTTCCTGGGAAAATTTCTGAGTTCTGCTCCATAAGCAATTCTGAGACCCTTTTCTGGGGAATCCCGGAGCTTTTGAGATCATCTAGGCCCATGTGCTCATGTTACAGATAGAGAAACAGGGATGGAGAGGCAAGGCCAATTCCTGGGGCTGTACAGCAGGTCAGGCTCTGCTGCTTTCCACCCAGCCTCGGCTGGCAGCAAGAGGTGACGTCTATACCGCTCCACATTCTAAACCACTGGCGATGACAGCAGGGTCTCTCCTATTCCCTCCTATTCGGAGGGAAACTCCTATTTTTCTTCCCCACTCACAAAGCCCAGACCCATTATTCACAGATAGGATGTGATTTGTGTGTTGGGGGAAGCTGGAGTGGGAAGGCCAGGGCAGTGGTCCACATGTACCCCAGGGCATAGGTCTAGCCTTTCCGAGTGCTCAGGGCTTTTGTTCTTCTTGTCCATCCTTATTAAAAACATGCACTCGTTATATTTTCAGAGCAAAGAACATGCTTAACATATGTGTTGCGATTGAGATATCTGACTTCATACGTTTTCAATCTCTCCCTCTTGGAAGTCAAGAGTTGGGGTGGGTACCCAGACGTGCCTGCCCCTCCCTGGCTTCTCAGACACTAACTACCCTTACATAACCAAGGGACTTTTGGTAGCAGCTGTTGTGGTGGTCTGAGCTACAGTCATTTTCAGATGTTCAAGGTCAGGGTCTGAGGCTTTCCAGGTATGGGACAGTTGACCTTGGGCTTCTTTAACTGTGGATTCTCAAGAACTTTCTGATTAAAAAGCACAAAAGTACCGTGATCTGCTCATTCATGGTACTTGGGATGCCACAGGCACATGGCTGTCTGTACAGGTGACACACCCTGAATGGGGTGGAGCATGAAGGAAATTTGATGGTGCTATTGTCAGGTCAGGGTATACAAGACTGACCCTTTTCCGAATATTCCAAACAAAACAAAGAAAGGAACGTGTTACCGCCTGAGAGAAGCGACAGCCACAGGACCAGTCCGGGGAGGTACGGGTGGAGGCGGTGAGCCCATGACCATCTCAGGAAGCTGGGAAAACCTGTAAGCCTGTGAACGAGACAAGCAATTCAGGGAGCGCTGTTAACATCCAGGGTCGATCAGCACACAGGTTCTTGTTTGAGGAGGAAGCAAACTTCCAAGGGTCAGACTCTGCCTCCTTACTCAGACTTTTTCCTTAGATCTTCCCTAACATGTTTCCAAGCCATCTCTTCTACTGCACCTCCCACTACTCTCCACCTCGCTGGGGCCACTGTACTTACAGGGCCCTCCAACCGTTCTCAGAGCACGCCAAGTTCTGTCTCACCTTGGGCTTTTATTCCACCCAGGTGCCTTCCTCACTGTTCTTCTCAGGGCTCCACGCTTCATTGCATTCATCCAGCCCCAGACTCCCCTAGAGCCCCATTTATCTATTTTTCATTATGGCAATGATCACTCTCTGACATTATATGGTTGCTTGTTTATTGATGATCTGCCACCAACTAGAATGTAATAAGGGCAAGGGCTTTGCTGTCAGAGATCTCCTTATACCTGGAACAGTGCCTGGTATATAACAGGTGATCAATAAATATTAGGTGATTAAATGGATGAATCGTTGATTGTGTTTTACTTTCTCTCAAGAGACAGCAGGTTTAGTGGAGAAAAGCAATGGATTTGGAGTCAGGAGGTATGTGCGAAGGTCCTAATGAACAGACTTTAGGTCCTTCGGCAACTCAAGTGACCTTTCTGGACCTCTCCTGAAATGGGTACAACAATGCTTGCTCAGAGGGCTGCTGAGAAGATCAGGTAAGTCTGTGTGTGTGTGTGTCTTTTGCAATCTATAAAGCGCTATTCAAAGATAAAAGACTAGAACTGTCACCAAAAAAATGCAGACTTTTATCAACATGTGAGAGGATAAAAGCAAAACAGACAGAGTCAGACAGGATTAGAAGGAGCCAGGCCACAACCTCCTTTAGCAAGAGAAAATCTAGAAATGTTCTCTGGGAAGACAAAGCTTTCTTTACTTGCGCTTCTCATCCGTTTCTTTCTTCAGCTATTCCGCCCATCAGATCTCTTGAGGAGGAAGATGACAGGATTTTAAACCTGAAGGCATCAGGACAAAAAAACAGCAGCACAGGGGATCCACAAACAGGATTCTTTCAACGGAATGAGGTCTTCTCCCTCCAGCATGATGGCAGACTACATCTTCATACGGGCCAAACCACTCAATAACAACGAGGTCCAGGATTAAACCTACTTTTTAATGCAATGTGAAACTGCAAGATGGCAGGGAAATCCCAAAGGACCATTCCCCTACCCCACACCTCGGCAAACTAAAACAAAACCATGAGCTGAAACCAGAGGTGGGAATGCTAAAGGTAAGCAAATACGAATGGCGAAGTGGCCCGGAAGACAAACGCCATAGTGACAGTTGATGAAGACATCGAGCCTTGGAACAGGACGAGGTGAGGTGGCTGAACCCAAGGCACTCACCTCCAACACAAAAGGAGGCTAGCATTGGTCCCTTCTAGGGAGGGAGGATGGATGGCAATGCTCCCAGCTCAGGCAGAAGCAATTGTAAATCCTCTTTGGAGGAGAGTATCCCTAAAGCAGTCTCTCAGGATTAGCATAGATTAAGATGAAGCAAATGGAGCTCATGATTAAGACCATGAACACACCAGAAAAGAGAAGTGAAAGAGAGTAGAAAAAACAAACAAGATTTAGACCTTTAAGGACTTTAGAGTTCGGAATTTCCAGACACAAGACAAAAAATAACAATGTAAGAAATGTTTTTAAGAAATAATTGACCAGGCCGGGTGTGGTGGCTCACACCTGTAATCCCAGCACTTCGGGAGGCTGAGGCGGGCAGATCACGATGTCAGAAGATCGAGACCATCCTGACTAACACAGTGAAACCCCATCTCTATTAAAATACAAAAAATTAGCTGGGCGTGGTGGCAAGCGCCTGTACTCCCAGCTACTGGGGAGGCTGAGGCAGAAGAAACACTTGAACCCAGGAGGCAGAAGTTGCAGTGAGGCGAGATTGCGCCACCGCCCTTCAGCCTGGGCGACAGAGCAAGACTTTGTCTAAAAATAATAATAATTGACCAGACAGATACTATTAGAAATGATCCAGCAGGTTTGAAAAAGAATAGAACTTTCAGAAGTGAAATATGATTATTAAAATAAAAATATTCAATGTAGAGGAAGTAAATAATAGATTAATCACAAATAGAGAATTAATAAACTAGAAAATGGAATTAGGGAAATTACTAAGAATGACGCACAATGGGCCGAGAAGACAGAAAATATAAGAGAGAAATACAAGACATAGAGGATGGAATGAGCAGGTCTAACATGCAGCTAACCAAAGTCCCAAAGTAGAGAAAAAGAAAAACAAAGGTGAGGCAGTATTTGAAGAAGCAATGGCTAAGAATTTTCCAGACTTGATAAAATAAGTAAATTAATAATTCCAAGTAGGATCAATAAAATAAAACACACATCTAGATACATTGTAGTGAAACAGTAGAATACCAAAGGCAAAGAGAAGATCTTAAAAGCAACCCAAAAGGCATATCACCTACAAAGGGATGGCAATGACACTAACAAATGGCTTCTCATTAGCACCCAGAAGACATAGAATGCAAAGTGCTCAGAGAGGAGTCAACCTAGAAGTGTGCCAGCAATACTATCTTTCTAGAACAAGAATGAAAGAAAACATCTGCCCAGATCCAGAAGTACTGACGAATCAATATGGAAAGCTACGTTACTGTGCTGCACTTCCATTTTTTTTTTTGAGCATCAGTAAACAATGTATGCAAAGGCAGCATTCAGGGAACCAAATCTTCAGCTCCACTAGATCCTAAACGTCTTGGAGTGCAGTAACCGTATCTGTCTTATTACAGTAGTCCTGGTCCATTACCAAGCAAAATGTCTTGCACCTAGCCATGTTAAGTAACTATTTGCTGAATGAATGCTGAGTGAACAAGGAGTAAGGCGATTCACGCTGTTATCTTGATTCAGCCATTCACTTTCTCTGGATATGTCATTCAACCTTTCTGAATCTTGTTTTGGTTTGTTTTGTTTTGCTTTCCTTGTGAAATAAGGCATTGGCCTGTCTCACAAGCTTCCAAACGTTTCTTTAGCCATGATACCATTCCAGCAGACCCTAATACGTAGACAGATGAAAGCAGAGCTTCTCTGGTTGAAGTTGGAGAGGAGGTGCCCTGGTGAATGTGGCCCTTCACTTACCTGTCTAATGACCCTCTGAGGACCTCCCTGAACCCTGAGGTTCTGCAGACAGCAAATCCTTGTCCTGGAGGTCCTTCCAGCTTTACCCTCCATGATTATCAATAAACCAAGTAAGGCACTTCTTTCCCAAGATAGACAAAGGAGATTTACAGCCCCTCTTCTCTCTTCTGGCCTCTCATGCTATTCAGCGGAGGAGATAGACAACCTATTTTTATCTCAGGTTGCTGGAAGCCTTATTCTGTAGTCAGCAGAGTTTCCCAGCCAAGAAAAGGCTTTCTATGCCTGTGGATGTCCTATAGCAGTTCACCCAGAGAACCGATTAAAAATTCTGAACTTCTGACAAGCAGCAAGGGAATTCCCTTCTTGAAAATTTTGTCAGGTACAAAGCAAGATGACACAGGAGATCAGGCAGTCCCTTTTGGGCTGTATCCTCAGGGTCCCAGGGCAGCCATGGGAGCCACATAAAACACAGAGGTGGCAGCCTATGCCACGTGCTCATGAGTTGAAGGAATCCTCCCCCAGGTGTCTTCTACCCACTCCTGTACACGTTCCCCCTGGTTCTAAGTCCTCTTGTCTTTGCCTTCTAGTTCCCTGTCTCATGTATTTAGAACCTGGTTCTCTCCTGGCTGCTCTGTGACAGGAATCCATTGGAAGCTATTGCATGAAACTGTTGCCAGGCTCTAAGTTTCCAGTGCCATGATGCTGGCTGTGAGGAACACCTAAGGACCCCATCTTTTGGGGTCCCTGCCCTCTGGCCAGGAAGGAGATCAAAGACTCAGGACTGAAGGCAGTCAGGTTGCAGGTCTCCGAGGCTGAAGGAGGCTGTGTGTGACTAGAAGAGAGCACTCTTTGGGCTTAGAAGTTTGGTTGTAACATGGAAGGGAGGAAGGGAGGAAGGGAGGAAGGGAGGGAGGGAGGGAGGGAGGAAGGGAGAGGGGAGAGGAGAGAGGGGAGGGGGGAGGGGGGAGAAGGGGAGGGGGAGGGCAGAGAAGGGGATGGGGGAGGGGGAGGGCAGAGAAGGGGATAGGGGAGGGGGGAGGGGGAGGGGAGGGCAGAGAAGGGGATGGGGAGGGGAGAGGGGGAGGGCAGCGAAGGGGAGAGGGGAGAGGGGAGGGGGAGGGGGAGGGCAGTGAAGGGGAGAGGGGAGGGTGAGGGGAGGGCAGAGGGGAGGGTGAGGGGAGGGGGGAGAGGGGAGGGGGTAAGGGGGAGGGGAGGGGACCACAGTCTGAAGTTTCGGGGCTGAGTGTCCCTCAGGAGGGGATGAGGGAAGCGGGTCAGCACCATACTCTCTAGCATTCAAAGTGGAGAGGGAGCCCCGACGAGCCCCAGTGCATGCTGGTCCCTCCTGTGCATATGCATTTCCCCAGGAGGAGGGATCTGGTAAAGATAAACCTCCAGGGTGGCACTACAGGGGTGACAGGCTGCAGGGGACAGCCTGCGGTTGGAAGGACTGGTAAAGGGGTCTTGGGCTTTGCATTAGTGGGGAAAGGCCATTGATAGGGCAAAGTCAACCTATCCTCCTTAGAAGCCCTTGTCCAGTGCCAGTGAGCTAGTCTCAGGGCAGAGTGGATGCTCCAATCTTTCCGCAGCTGGTAGCTACCCTGGGTGCCTCTGCATGGTGCCCTCCCACAGCATCGTGCTGATCCTGAGAACCCTGCTCCAGGCAGAACGATGTCCAGCTAGAAATAACTTCACATCCTAGTGCAGGAGCCAGACTCTTCTGCAAGGATAGTTCCTATTTAGTTGAAAGCAGAGGGCTTGGTAATTAAAGTCTAACTTTAAAGTAAAAACCCAGTGCTTATTTTGATCTGTCAATTGAT